ACGAAAAATATGGTATTTATAAATTTATTTAGTTATTATTTTAATTTATTGATGTGCGGATTGTACAAGTTCAGTTATTCTGCAAGCACAAAATTTGAAGAATTCTGCTGTAAGTTACCAATGTAATGGAGTATGCCAATTACATTAATAACCCAAGGATTTGTAAGAGTGAATCACTACTACAAATTAGCGATCACTCCCTGCTTTTGCCCACGCGTTCTCTAACAGAATGCGCAGGTTGTTAAGTGCACATGAGATATCTCAGGATGGGGAAGATCATGGGGTGCTTAGCGATGGAATAGGCCACCTGCTTCAGACCATTCAAGGCCTCGCCCGACCCACTGAGATACCTCATGCTCCCTCCCCTGCGGTCCCCACGATTGGTCCCCTCCCATCCTGCCACACTGTGTCACTTACTTTCTGAAGATTGTCTCCTCTCCAGCCTCTCTGCTGCACTTTCTTTGCCTGCTTGCAGTCTTGGCATGAAAACTGTTTGCAAGCCAGCCAGCCCGCCTGGACTACTGCAATGCTCTCTACATGGGGCTCCCCTTGGGGTGCACCCGGAGGCTGCAGTTAGTCCAGAATGCGGCCGCACGGGGGATTATGGGAGCGATGGGGCGCACACATATGACACCTCTCCTGCGCAAGATGCACTGGCTTCCTGTGGTCTTCCGGGTGTGCTTTAAGGTGTTGGTGACTACCTTTAAAGCGCTCCATGGCTTAGGGCCGGGGTATCTGCGAGACCGTCTTCTGCCGCCAATAGCCTCCCCTGACCGGTTCGCTCGCACAGAGAGGGCCTCCTCAGGATGCTGTCGGGCAGACAGTGCTGGCTGGTGACCCCCAGGGGGAGAGCCTTCTCTGTGGCAGCACCTGCCCTCTGGAATGACCTACCCCCTGAGATACGCACGATATCAGACCTCCGGACTTTTTGTCGGGCCCTGAAAACACACTTATTCCATCTAGCCAGGCTGGCTTGATCCCATCCTCTCAGTTTTAATTGAATTCGGTTTTAATTGGGATGTTTTAAATTTTGGGCCGAAATTATTTAATTGTTTTTTAAACTGTTTTTAAATTTTATATGCTATGTTTTATCTCGGCTGTACACCACCCTGAGTCCCGCAGGAGAAGGGCGGTATAAAAATAAAATAAAATAAAATAAATAAATAAATAAATAAATAAATAAGACTTTGGGGCAGCGAAATAGTCTTGCTTGAAGCCTCCCATCACCTTGCAAACGCTTTTCCTGCCTTCCCAGTCTTGGCACGAAAAGTGTTTGCAAGCCGATGGGAGGCTTGAAGCAATGCGATTTTGCTACCCCAAAGTCTCATCGGCTTTCAAGCGCTCTTCGGCTGGAACTGGTATGTGACATCACGCAAGATCAGTAGCGTGAGATCTCATGTTACTGATCTTGTGGGATCTCTCACTACTTTAGGCCTGTTTTCTGCAAATGCACTGAAGCAGGTGAAGGAACTGATGGCTCGCTAGATCGTTGCAAGGTAAGTCGGTTTCCACAGGCCCAATGGCTGTGGAATCCTTGCAGGGTGGGGGAATACGCAGGGTGAATGTTGCAGTGCCTCTGCCATCATTCGTAAGTCTGAACAAGCGCCGTGGTACTGCAACATTCATAACTTTGGTACTGGGTCATAACTACTTGGGGGGGGGGGTGTATGTCGTAACTTTGAACAGTTGCTAAATGAATTGTCATAACTCAGGAATTACCTATATATGGGAAACACAAAATATTTCTACAACTTTGTTTTTAATCACAGGGTTGGATGAAATTAAAAGAGGAGATAAGATTCTTTGATATCATGATTCTAGTTTTACCACAAACAATTCTTGAAATATGTATTTTTTTAAAAGATAGAGAGGACAAAGAACATTACAGCAACCCTAAATTGAACAAAGAACCTTCGTTGTATTAAACCAGTTCAGGAATCAACCTATTCCACCTTTTGAATAAAATTTTCAAAGTGCTATCAAAGTAAGCTCTTGTTTTTCCATATGGTCTCCTGAATAATCAGTCTCTCCTGAATAATCAGTCTTGGCATGATGCCAAAAAGTATCTACTAATTTACTGGAGTGAATAATCAGTCCTGATATGTTGTCAAAAAGTATCTATTGACTTGCTGGGGAGAGTTGCCTCTGATTTCTTGGTGCCAGGAGAGTTGGCATAAATAACTACTCTGTTTGCCCGAAAATAAGACCCAACTGGAAAATAAGTCCTAGCATAATTTTTTAGGATGCTCGTAATATAAGCCCTACCCCCAAAATAAGCCCCAGTTAAGATTGTCAGCCAGATGGGTGCATTTAGTACTGTATTTCCCCAAAAATAAGACCTACCCAGAAAATAAGCCCTAATGCATCTTTTGGAGCAAAAATTAATATAAGACCTGGTCTTATTTTTGGGGAAACATGGTAGTATGCTTGCTCTGTTCAGGAATATCTCCCCTTATTACTAGCTTTGATAAGATGACAAGTTAAATAGAGTACCTAACTTATCACCTTATCAAAGTACTTAACTTAGCAAAGCTTGACCTGTTATGTGCAGAATTCAGGAGAATTTATCTCTGACTTGGCCTTGCATACCGGTAGTACTGTAGTCTTGTAATCTAAGACTGCTGAGTTTTCCTGTGATACTTAAAAAGTTGCCAAAGCAGCTTAGCAAGCTTTTGCTTCTTCCTCGGGAAGTGGGGGTGGAAATCTCATCACTGCTCTAACACTTGTGATACCCTGTGTAATTAATTAGAACATGGCACAAAACTAGGAACACACACACACACACACACACAGTCAGCTTCGGCATGCCAGCCGGCCCATAGCTGTCATTCGGAGGGGAGGCAGCCACCTCCCTGGCTGTCCTGAAATGTCCTGGATGACTGGCTGGGAAGGGTCCTCCAGTAAAGGCTGACTGACAGTGAAGGAAGAGGACTAGTCCTCCTTAAAAACTTACTGGCAGCAGAGGAGGAGGAAAAGGAAGGCTGGACTTAAGGCGGATGCTGGCTTCTTCACATGTGTTTTATCCCCTGCTCATTTCAGGGTCATGTGGGAGGGAGCTGCATGAGTGAGTGGTGGGCGGTGCATATAGTTTAAAAGATGGCGGGGAGCGTGGGCGGTTAGTGCTAACAAGAAGTTCCTTTTGCGATTGTAAGTGCGTGCCAAAAAAGAAGTAAAGCAGGCAGCAACAAACCAGGTTTGTGTTTGGCTGTGTTTCTTTCTTTTTCTTTGTTTGGAACCTGACACACACACACACACACACAAGTATGGTTCAGAAAAAGTAGCCTTTAGAGCGGGAGTGAGTTCTACTTACCTTTACTATCGGTTCGCAACTGGAGCACGCACGCACATGTGCAGATCATATCTAATGATGTCTGGGTGGGTGGGAGGAGCCTCCCGCCACTTTTACTGCCGGTTCTCAAGAACCGGGAGGAACCTACCACTGCTTTAGAGCCTTACATCTCCTTTTTTGAGTAATAACTATTTGCATGGGAGCCTTTAAATATTGATTTGGCCCAATTCTCATACTGAAGCTGCTAAAGTTGTCAGAACTAACAAAGAAATGCACAATCAAATAAATCGACCATAAGAGGCAGCAAAGCTTAGAAGGGAGAAAATGCATGAGGCACCCTAAGCAGTTCTTGGCCAAATTTTGCCTCCACAAAAGAACCAGGATAAATATAGAAGAACTTATCAACCAATTATTCATACTAATGTCAGCCTATCTCAACATCATGCAGCCCCCAAGCTTTCTCCATATGAAAGTGAATTTGCAACTTCACGTATTGTGTCTTACAGTAAAGAAGCAATAGAAAAGTCATAACATAATAGCAATAGCACTTAGACTTATATACCACTTTACAGGGCCTTATAAACCCTCCTTAAACAATTTACAGGGTCAGCATATTGCCCCCAACAATCTGGGTCCTTATTTTACCGACCTCGGAAGGATGGAAGACTGAGTCAACTTGAGCTTGGTGAAATTCGAACTGCCAAATTGCAGGCAGTCGGCAGTCAACAGAAGTAGCCTGCAGTACTGCACTCTAACCACTGTGCCACCGTGGCTCTTTTCTCAGAAGAAGAGGTCCCTCCCCCCATTTTTATTAAAATACTCGAGTATGTGTGAAGCTAGAAGGAGCAGAAAGTCATTTGTTACATATCTTTTTTTTCCCAACGCTTTTTGCACTTTTGAGTTTCTTTACTTTTTAATATTTTTGTTAGTTTGTATTCGTTTTTATATTGGTATCTGTAAACTTATTGATAACTCAGCTTTTTTTCCAAGTAAAACCAGTTAGCCAAATGGTATATACAAAAAATAATGATTAAAACTATGCTAATAAACCCTTGACTCTATATCGCTTTCTGCTAAAGACATAAATAAAATCTCTTTTACACTTAATGAGGTTTATGCTGACTTCATGGAGATATCAGTAATGGCTGAAACTGGCATTGAACGAACCAGGCTTAAAAACAGACAACTGTTATCTGGATAGCTCAGCCATCTATACCAGGCAAATGGGCCAAGTATCCATCAATTAGAAAGGCAGAAAGAAGAAGCCAAAAATTGACATGCTGGAACACGAATAGAGAGAGATTCTGCAGTGAGCAATCAAATAACTTGTTAAGGTTTGTCTGCAATAAAGACTTTAAATTAGCTAGTGGTGTATAGAAATTTTCTGCTAAGTCTAGCTGAGAGCTGAACTAAAGGTTAAGTGCCTGGAGATCTAGGATTTACTTCCAAGTCTGGATGGTTAAATATGGCAATACTTGTGTTATTTATTTATTTTTTTGGTCAGAAACACAGAAGGCCTCTTCCTTCTTGTTCTCTAAGCACTTAGAATAAATACAGTTTCAAATAAGCAATTTTATTTATCTTTATATGCTGTCCTTTAAAATCATTTAGCTGTTGAACTAAGCCATTAATTACTTCTCTCTTTTTTTAATTTGCAGACATACCAATTGCTGAAGTAACTAAGAGATCTAACACAAACATTAAAACTTACCTCTCTTATCACTTCTGCCTGCACTTGTGGACTTTTCTGAAAGGCAAGGACAACGTCCTTCACACTTAGCTGAGATATGTTTTCCTGAGGCACAGGCTTGATAGTCTAGTTTGCACTGTAATAGAAAAATAATATTTATTATTTATTTATTGGTTCGATTTATATGCCGCCCTTCTCCATAGACTCAGGGCGGCTTACAATGCGTTAAGCAATAGCCTTCATACTTTTGTATATACCTGCTTAGTAGGGCTTTCGGGCCCCCCTAAGCGGTGTTCTTTTTTATACAAAGTCAGCTTATTGCCCCCACAATCCGGGTCCTCATTTTACCTACCTCGAAAGGATGGAAGGCTGAGTCAACCTTGAGCCTGGTGAGATTTGAACTTGCAGTAATTGCAGGCAGCTGGTGCTACTTTACAGCACTTTAGTCTGCTGCGCCACCAAGGATATTAATCCTTATAATAAACAAACATAATGTAAATTGCACTTCACTAAATGTTTTTCAGGTAGCTGGAATTTACCATTTATTTACATGTTTACTTATTTATTTCGCAACTAATTAACTTGGTGAATCCCAGAGGTTTACAGAAAATAAGCATAAAACCAACACCAAGGAGAATGATGGTGTGAAGCCATTAACCCAGATTAAAATGTGATAAGGAACAGGCTTTAACTCTATCTCATCGTAGTACAGGTAAGCCACCTCATTACTCAGGTAACTGTGTTGTTACCTAAAGACAAATTGTAATTCTTGGCTGTGCTGAAAATTCTGGGAGCTGAAGTTCACACATCTGAAAATTGCCAAAATTAGAAAATGCCGTATAACCCCAATTAAGCAGCATCTATGTCTTCCTGACTTCTCAATTTATTTGATACTAGCTCTCATCTATAACCTGAATAATCTTCCTATTCCCTGTATTTTCTTTCTTCTCCTACATTTTATATAGATTTAATCAAATAATGAGTTCTGTTTGAACGCTCTACTGATTCTTGATTTTTTTAAAAAAATTTAATGAATCCATACATTTTAGCAGTTTAAAGTCTAGCCTATTATGTCAGAGTTTTTTCTTCCCTTTGGAAATATCAGTTTTAGCATGTTTCACTGTGGTTCCATCGGTCTGAAAATGTGTTTTTGGGGAGTACATAAAATAGGATACAGCATGCATGTAGAAAAATCACATATAAAACATCTCACTTGCACTATGTCAATTTTCACAATCATTAAATAATTAAACAAACATTAAACAGTAACTCAGTTTTAGCCTCAAACAGAAGATGTAATTGAGGGGTTAGGATGACAAAATGGCTTGTCTATAACTCTAGATATACATTCATAGGAAAATGATATTCAAACTAATAATTTTTTGTTTATAGCATGTGGAACAATCCTTAATATACAACAATGCAAATGATAATACTTTTAGCTATTTTTTATTTAAATTGAATTGGAGCATCTCACTCCAAGATAAAAGGGCTGACCTGTTAAGAAAGCAAAGCAGTTTGGATTAGTGAAACATGCAGTAGATAGTATCATAGTCTATTTTATTGCCTTTTAGATTGTCATAGTATTTCTGTGTTCACTGAATATGTACTATGTTTTTGACTAATCAGTCATTACAACTATTACAAAAGCTAATGATTTGGACTGCTTGTTTCTTGCCACAACTTCCTTCAACGGGAATAAGAATAACCAATGAGGTGCTAATAGAACAACAAACATAATACTGAGACCTGAGTTGGGGGTATGATATTTTTTTCAAATATGAAGGCACTTGTTTTTTTATAGACTAATATCAACCTCTAATATAGAAGAATATTTCAAAAGAGTTTAAAATTTGGATCCATTTTGGTGCAACACGAAAAAATATGTAACAAATATTCTATAGCTTTGCTATAGCAATAGCACTGACTTATATACCATTTCACAGTGCTTTACAGCCTTCTCTATGCATTTTATAAAGTCAGTACATTGCATCCAACATTTTTGGTCCTGATTTTACCAACCTTGGAAGGATGTAAGGTTGAGACAACCCTGACCCAGTGAAAATTGAACTGCTGGCAATTGGTGGAAATAGCCTGCAATACTTATAATTAATAGTTTATTAGAGTAAGCATTGTGAATTTTATTCAAGAAGTTCCATTGTTCTTTTTCTTCTCTACTACATTTGTTAGTGACTCATTTATGAAATACGTATCATATTATACTGGTTATTATAATTTGACTTCTTGATGCTGTACCATTTCTTAAACAACACCCACTGATTGCATTGCTAATTTATCAAGACCAATTTACTCAATTATCTAAAGTTGAAATATTTATAAAGTTGTAAGTGAGCTGAAATATCACATAAAGGGCATGCTCATTAGTATTATCGAAAGATTTGTACATAATCATATTAATCAAAGCATATTATTTGCTGCTTTGGGTAAAAAACTGTTTTGTGAACTTTTACATTTTTTCTTTGCTTTTTACTGGAATATTTCACTATGGACATTAGTAAATTTTGGTAATATTAAATCCATGCATAAAAATCAACACCACCGTCTACAGAATATGAGAGAAAAAGAAGATCCATCTGATACGTGAATTACTTGATAATCAACACTATGTTGTATTAAACTTTTTAGAAGCCTCTACAAGCTCTCAGTGCAAAGGAAATGATCCCTCCGGTTAATCTACTTGGGTCAGTTTAAGAACTGCAAGTATATGACCCTACATCTATATATGAGGGAAATGTTTTAGGAAATGATAATTGAAATGTCAACATCAGTGTTCTGCTTGCCATAGCATTTAGATCCAACAATTGGATTAATTGGAACACAAAATTTAAAGAGCCTTGGTGGCACAGCAGACTAAAGCACTGTTAAGTAACACCAGCTGCCTGCAATTACTGCAAGTTCAAATCTCACCAGACTCAAGGTTGACTCAGCCTTCCATCCTTTCGAGGTAGGTAAAAGGAGGACCCGGTTTGTGGGGGCAATAAGCTGACTTTGTATAAAAAAGAACACCGCTTAGAGGGGGCGCCGAAAGCCCTACTAAGCAGGCATATACAAAAGCAGGGTGGATAAAAATCAAAAAAATCAGATTTTTTAAAATTTAAATCAGATTTTTTTGATTTAAATCGGATTTTTTTTTATTTTTATCGAATTTATTTTAATAAAAAACTTTTGGGGTAAAAATCTATCGTAAGATAGTTTTCTATTTAAGATACATAAATAATTTAGTTTATTCAGCATGAAATGGAGCTTAGTTATGTAGCATGAGGCTGTATATTCTGCAACACTGGGACTATCGGTGAGTGGGTCAAAGGAGTAGCAGAGATGACAGTTGCTGTTTAAAAATTATGATTTAAATCGAGTTGATTTAAATCAAGCCTTTTTACTAGTGATTTAACTTATGATTTAAATTGTGATTTAAATCAACTCTATTTAAATCAAATCCACCCTGTTCAAAAGTATGAAGGCTATTGCTTAACGCATTATAAGCCGCCCTGGGTCTCCGGAAAATGGACATTGACTTACCTGAATGTCCTTTTTCGGAACGCTGCGTATACACTCCAGCATTGGGAAAATCCTCTTCTCTGACAGCAACTGAGAGAACTTTTTTTCACTTATCTACCTACTCTGTGCTCTCTCCACGCCCCCTTTTGCACCCGAATCCCCAGTCTTGAACGAAGACACAACAGGTGAACCACAACAAAATTTATTAACTCAAAACAACCACAAGCCAACAAACAAAAAGGGAGGGAAATGGAGTGTATACGCAGCGTTCCGAAAAAGGACATTCAGGTAAGTCAATGTCCATTTTCCAGAACGCTGCTACTACACTCCAGCATTGGGACATACCCAAGCCTAACTCCCAGGGTCGGGCAAAACACCAGTCACCTCAGAAGACCCAGACACCACCGCCTGCAAAACACGTCGCCCAAAAGACGCCTCAGCCGAAGCGTAGGCATCAATCCGATAATGTCTTATGAAGGGCGACAAAGAAGTCCAAGTAGCCGCCCTACAGATGTCCAACACAGAAGCCTGGGTAGCCCAGGCGGCCGAAGTAGCCGCACTCCGAGTCGAATGAGGTAAAATGTTCCCAGGAACAGGACGACGCTGATTCTCATAAGCAGAAGCAATACAGGCCTTAATCCAACGACCAACTGTAGTCGACGACACTTTCTGACCCATGGATGCAGGATGGAACGAAACAAACAGGGCTTCCGTCTTCCGAAACGCCGCCGTCCTACGCATGTAACGTCGCAATGCCCTGCGCACATCCAGAGTGTGCCAAAGAACCTCACGGTGATGTCTCGGCGATGGACAGAAATCCGGAAGCACTAACTCTTGCGCCCGGTGAAACCACGAATTAACTTTGGGCATAAAGGCAGGGTCCATCCTCAGGACCACGGTATTAGCATGGAAAATACACAAGTCTTTCCTGACGGATAAAGCAGCCAGCTCTGAAATGCGCCTAGCCGACGTGATCGCCAGGAGAAATGCAACTTTGAACGACAGGAACTTAAGTGAGGCGGAACCCAGCGGCTCAAACGGAGACAATGTGAGAGCCTGCAAAACTAAAGATAAATCCCAAGAGGGATAACGATGAACCGTAGGCGGTCTCAGGTTCGTAGCTCCATGAAGAAACCCCTTCACCCACGGATGATGAGCCAAGGTGGTGTACGGCGGACAGGATAACACAGTGGCCAGGGCCGCCACCTGCCGTCTGAGAGTGGCTGGAGACAAACCCCGTTCCAATCCCGCCTGTAGAAAAATGAGGACATCCTGAATCGTCGCAGATGTAGGATCCACATGAGCAGTCGCACACCAACGGCAAAAGGCTTTCCACGAGGCCTCGTAGATCCTCGTCGTGGATGGTCGACGGGCCGACTGAATCGTACCAATTACCGTATCCGGCAAACGGCCTTTTTTCAAGAGGACGCGCTCAAACGCCAGACGGCCAACTGCAGCCACTGGGGCTCGGGATGACGAATGGCCCCCTGACATAGCACGATCCGATGTGGAGGAATCACCCACGGGTCTGTCACCGACAACTCCACAAGATCCACGAACCACGGCCTGCGGGGCCAATGTGGTGCCACCAATCACATCTCTGCCCTCTCCGCCATC